TTTAAGCAAATTAAAAGGAGCTAAACCCTAAGAGGAGGGAGGTTTAACCTGTTGGGAAAAATAAATTCACTACTTGGTAGACCTCGGTTAGTGCTGGTTAGAATATTATACTTAGCTTTACACTATTTAGGCCTGGTCTAATAAGCTGATGACATGCTATTACCTGCCAATACCTCATATATGTCAGGTAGAACGAGGTCCTAACTGGCCTCTACCTGACAATACACCATCAACGTCAGGTAAACTAAAGTAATAACTCGCCTTTACCTGACGATACGTCATTTACGTCAGGTAGAACGAGATCATAGCTTACTGATACCTCACGAGGGGTTGTCTAAACGAGATAAAGTCAGATAATAACCTGACTAATACCTGACTACACGTCGTCTACGACATGCTAAACGATGAAATAACTTGCTAATACATGACAATGCGTCATGTATGTCACGTAAAATGAAGGAATGACTTGTCAGTAGCAAGTGAGANCTCGTTACTTTGTTGTTATCAAGTNGTGGNCGNCGTTACGACGTCNTTACAAGGCTAGTTAAGTTATTTGATATAAAATAAATACAAGTCTATTAAGATAACTTCGCATGGACTTGGCGGTGNGAAGTACAGCGAGNTCCATCATTATCTTGANTTCATAATATGAAGAGGTAAATGATTCGAGTATATAAAAAATCCCAATTATTAGGGAGATAATCATGACGTCAGGTCTCATCCTAATCCGAAAAGGATTTGATCACGTCTTATAAATAGGGACATCTTAGAGAAGAGGAGGGCATCGAAAAACACACATAGAAAATCTAAGAGCTACGTCTTCACAGCATCCCAGCGATCGTAACCAGAGACCTAGCCTTGTTTTCCACATCCAACGAAGTCCTTTATAACGCTTTAGACATCTAGACGTTGTAATACAACTCGGCTACAAGCCTACTTCGTTGATTAATAAAACGATACTTCTCTCTATCATTCTGTAGTTCTGTGTACTTGTGAACCTGGTTAAATTTTCCCGAAACAATTGGCGCCAAAAAGAGGGCAGCAGATTTAACTACGTGAGACATGACGACCGGAGATGACAACGTGATACCCACAGGAGGTAACAACACCCAAGATCCCGCTGCTCAACTCGCGGAACTCACCGCCCAGGTGAAACTGGCTAAAGAACGAGCAGCGCTGCTCGAAACAGAGATTGCTGCATTGAAGTCTGCGAACGAGACTCTACTCGCTGTAGACAGAGACAGCGAGCTCGAAGCTCGAAACCGATTCCAAAGACGTGTCGATCCGATGCAGTCGCTAGATGGAACTACACCTGCTGCGGGTGCAAGGACGGTGCAGCAACAAGGAGCTGGTACATCTGCCACTGATGTGGTTAGAGAGGAGGTTCGGGAGCAAGTCATCCGATTTTTGCTTCACCCTGATCAACACCTGATTCACCCTAGTGAAGCATCAACAACACGGTCAACAGAAGATCCACACCTTATTGTCAAACGTCTTGAAGAGATGGAAGCGATGATTAAGCGACTTCCTGGTGTAGCACCACCAATAACAAAGAGCGCACCTAACTGCTACGCGGATACTCCATTCACGGACGAGATCGTACTTGTAAAGATACCAAAGAGATTTTCGTTTCCCTCGATGATGATGTTTGACGGAACGACAGACCCTGACAATCACATCGCACAATACAAACAACGAATGTTTACCACTGCAATTGCGAGAGAGTACAGGGAGGCCAACATGTGTAAAGGGTTTGGCTCGAGTCTCACGGGACCTGCGCTCTAGTGGTTTACAAACCTACCCAACGGGTCAATAAATTCCTTTGCTTCACTAACTGATCATTTTGTTAAACAATTTGCAAGTAGCAGGAACCTTGAGAAGACAGCAGACGACCTCTATGAGGTAATCCAAAAGGAAGGTGAACCGCTGCGCAGTTACGTGGGACGTTTCAACAAGGAAAAAGTATCCATCCCGAGTTGTGTCACGTCTACTACCATATCAGCATTTAAACGAGGTCTACTTCCAGACGGTGACCTGTATAAAGAGCTGACGAAGTATCAGTGCAGGACCATGGAGGACGTACTCTCTAGGGTTTGGGCACAAATTAAGTGGGAAGAAGATCCGGCCTATCGTTATCATCATTCCCCACAGTCTGACTCACGTGTGTCAAGATGTGAGAAACCCCCCAGAGAAGGAAAACCTTATCAAAGACCCCGTAGTGAAAACACGAGCAGCAAGAACGATAGCAAGGGAAGTCACCGGCCATTCAGCAAGGATGAGACCGACAAGCGCTCATCATCAACGTGGCCAAATATTAGCAACCTATCAATTTCGCACGCAGAGTTGGTAGGTGCATTGAGGCAGATGGGGGCAGCAGTAAGATGGCCTAAAAAAATGAAGACGTCAGGTGATAAACGTGACACGTCAAAGTGGTGTGAATTTCACGATGACCATGGTCATCGAATAGAAGATTGCATCACATTGAGAATGGAAGTAAATGAGTTGCTCAAGAAGGGCCACATGAGAGAATTCTTGTCTGAACGAAGTAGAAGCAGAATCGACAAGAGGAGTGATGACAAAGCTTCACCAAAATCTGCTCATGCTTCACCTCCTAGGCATGACAGAACTATCAACGTGATCACTGGAGGTTCAGAAGTTAGCGGAGTATCTTACTCAGCAGCTAAGAAGAACACGAGAACTGCTAGACATCACAAAACAGGCAGCGAGGTCACAAGTGATACTACACCAGCATGTTCAATCAGCTTCACGAGAGATGAAAGCGAAGGTGTTCAAGGTCCCTATCACGATGCATTAGTTATATCCTTAACAATAGCTAATTGCTTGATGAAAAGGACGCTAATCGACAATGAGAGTTCGACAAACATCCTTTTCATGGAAGCTTTTAACGGACTAGGTCTGAAGGAAGAAGAGCTGACTCGAAAGTCTACATCATTGATAGGGTTTAGTGGTGAGGTGAAACAGACCGTTGGAGAGATAACACTACCTGTATACGCAGGAGGTGTTAATCGTCAAACAAAATTCCTGATAGTGGATTGCGCCTCGGCCTATAACGCGATCATGGAACGTCCATGGATTCATGATATGGGAGCAGTACCATCGACCCTCCACCAAGTCATCAAGTTTCCTACCCCATGGGGAATTAAGGAGATAAGGGAAGAACAAGAAAATTCAAGATCATGCTACCAGACTACTTTGAAGGGTAAAGCTACTTAGTCATAGCAATTACAGAGTCCATCGTCGGTAGTTCATGGTGAAGAGCCGGAGGTGGAACAACTCGACGAGATCCCGCTAGCTGAGAACGATCCTGATAAGAAGATAAAACTCCGCTCGAAGTTACCTACAGACGTGCGAAAAAGGTTAATTGA